TACATGACTATTCCAAAAAACAATTTTTAATAGAAAAATTTTATAACGTACCCTATTCTGTGAACATGGTCTTTATTTTTTGCAACTCTAGTCCAAATAGATATTTTGTCTCCTTTTGTTCTATTCTGTGCCACAGCTCCACAGATATCATCACTACTGTCATCAAAAATTTCCCCAATCAAGCACATTAACTATAGGATGCAACAAAATAAACATTCTTCCAATTTTCCTGCAGACTTAACTGTCTCCATCCAAACATTGTCTAAAACTCCATCTTTTCTGTCTCTTTTATCAATATTTAACAACCACCTACCACCATCTTTGTTTGTTTTGTCTTCCCACATTGGTTCAATACCTTCCTAATAAAAAGGTTAATGTTTGCATGTCAAAAACACTTATTTACTTTAAATAGCATGTAGTCACACCCACTGCTAATTTGGCTTGGTGGCTTGATATGATTGTACACACTACATGATTGAAGATCACACACATTACAATTTTCAAAAATTCATACAACTTACGACCAAAAGTCTTCAACCTAATAAATAAAATTGGGGGTAAAATTAATGTTTGTACTGCAAGAATAGTTTCATACAGTTGAGGCTTATACATCTACATGTATAATAGCAATAATAATTACTCAACATTGATATAAATATGGTTACTAGTATTAAAATTATGACAAATAATTAAGATTAATAGTCTATACAAAAAAAAGATTTACATGCAGAATTGTTTACAATTAAATCTAAAGGTAACAATTAACATAACGTCCTATTAAAACAGAGTTTCACAGATGATTAATATTCATATACATGTACATGTAGTTATTCCATTCAGAGGAAGTTGTACATCACCAAAATTATATTATGATGGACATGTTCATAAAGTATACATTGTAGGTTCAAATATAAACAAAAAAACAGAAAGACTGTCAAAATAAATGGTTTCTAGTGCAACAGTCAACCAATGACATTATAGTACAGGCCCAGATGCATCGGTAAGTATCTCATGTATAACTAGATCTCCATGTAAGCAATGAGAGTGGAAAACCAAAATGAGATACATGTATGCATCCAAAAGAAACGAAGGAAACAAAAAAATCTAATTGCAACAATAGTTAGAAAATACTTCATATTAATAATGTAAATGCTAAAGAAGACAAACAAAAATTAAAATTACAGTGTTAAAACTCACCGTATCAATGCAAATGATCTTTCTTAAATTGTCTTTCCATTCTTTTTGCTTGTCATTTTTCAAATACCACAAAACCCACCTACAGTAATCACTTGGATTAAATAATTGACATTAAAAATACCTACATACAGTGAAACTTGTCTAAAGCGACCACCTATGGGCCAGAAAAACTTGGTCTTAATAGAGACGTGGTCTGTAGATAGGGTAACCTGTCTATCAAGAGACCATGGCCCTTTATATGTTTTGGTCCTTATACGCAGGTACACTTATCATTTCAATACACATATGCACATTGAATAACTAATACATCACTCCTTCTTTCTATACAAATATATCTACATGTACATGTAGTTATCAATAAAAGTCTCCAAGAGTAGTTTTCTTCTTCTTGAGTAGTTTTCTCTAAGAAAACATAAAAGAGATCAAAGCAGCATGAGTAAATCTAGTAGGAGTGGTTGGTCAATTAATTATCTTGTGGGTGCAGCCAGTCAATTAATTGACTGGCCGCACCCACTGGTTGCTATAGGGAAGTAAATTTCCATGAGAGGCTATGGACAGGGGACCTAAAGAACCGGTCAGATAACGGGATAGACAGGTGGATGCATTAGAGGGGAAAGTTGCTATGTAGTTTAATGAGTAAATAGCTGGGACCAAATGATCTGGTTGCAATAGAAAAGTGGTCTTCATATACAAGTGGTCGTTAAGACAAGTTTCACTGTACATGTACATGCAAGTTTACCCACTGCATCATAGTTCATAGTGTCTAACAATACATGTACCGTCGGTTTTTACATTAAATGGAAATTAAAATAATATAGTGCCTACATCAAAAATTCAAAATCGAGAGATATCAAAAATCAAGACACCAAAATATTTAAAATGTTTAATCTTTAATCCGACAAAACTCACAGCATAACCACCTTATACTGTGTTCACACTACCTCCCCAGCTGTACAGAACTGTACTTAATTAGATTACTTTGGTTATAAAAGAACCATGTTGGTAGCAGTTCACACTGCACAATTTAACTACACCAAATTCACTTTAAAACTTAACTACACCATTTCAGAGCACCTACATGTATTTTGGTGACCACTTTAGCCTGGTTTGGTTTGGTTACAGTGCAGTTCAGCTATGTTCACACTTGTTATAAAACTACACTATACTTCCCCAAAACTCAGTTCCAGTAAAGTTCTGAAGGATAGTGTGAACAGGGTATTAGAGTGCCCCTACACTAAAATCAAACATTCAATAACATTGATTTTATAAAACCTACAACATTCTTTTCTACACGTATGATGCAATAGATTCTATGAGGGGTTTACAAGTGTTTCAATAAAATGTTTTCACTGACATAACATGTACATGAAGTTACATGTACGTGTGACTTTCATGATTAGGCGTCACATCACCATTCCAAAAAAAACTAAACCCAAAATGTTAAACACTAACTTCAGTTAAATACTCAATAGATGATCAATCTTTATACATAATAAGAAACGAAACATTAATACATGTATTAATCAACAAAATATTTTACATAAATAATAAATCGATGATTAAAATTTTCACTAACTTGTTCTGTAATGGATGTCTTTCTGGTGTTACCGCTGGTACAGACGCTATTAATGGAGCTTGAGACTTTTCACTCTCACTCGTCTAGTGTATCAGACACATAAAATTGAAGAGGATACAGGGTTATGGTAGCTTATTGCCATTAACACTATTTCCGACACTCTTACATAACTAAGTCTCTTACTGATGGTTTGTCTGGTTCCTTTGAAGCCATTTACTTCTAGCGTTAAGATCCTGTATTGTTTTACTTTCTTTGATTCTTAATTCTGTACCTAAAAAGCAGCATGCAGCACTAGTAAGACCACGCCTACGATTCCTATTAATTATTATTAATAATTAAAATTAATAATTCCATATTGTGTATATATAATGTGTATACCAAGATGTACGTGTACATGTAAAGGTTATGAGCATTTCTTTTAGTTAGTGTCATTGAAATTGTTCTTTCAGATGCTGCAAAAAGACACGAAGGGAAGTTTGATCCAATTTTGAACTACGAACTGTTTGTACTAGCCTAGTACCAAGTCTGCATGCTTTTAAAAGTACAAGAGAGTCCTTGGACTGTGGCTGATTTGACTAAGAATGAAGTGATTATGGTTCATATAAAAAAAGTAATGCATGCATTACTGCTTTCTGAAGCTGAATTTCTTTAATAATTTCACCTGCATCATTTAGTATTGATTGAGGTAACATTGACAAGGATGCTAAACTAAGGCCTAAAACGAAAAAACCATACTGATAAGTGCACATCATAGTAATTACCGTAATGTGTTGATTCTGCTTCACCTCTAACTAAATGATGAGTAAAAGCAGCACTAAACACTTCATCACTGGAACTGATACACTATACTGCAAAGTCAATAATCGGAAAATAAGAGTTCGTTCTTACTTTCATTTCAAAATGATAGCTATATACAAAATAAGATACATTTTAAATTAAATATCAATCCTTACTTTTCAACATTTGGATATAAAGTTTCCAAGTGGGTGAGTTCAAGAAAATGAGTTGCAAAAAAAGTAAAAGCCTTTACAAATTATAATAGCAGCAGAGGAAATGTACATGCATTTTACTTTTGTCATGAGAAGCTTTTCACAAATTGCATAGCACAACCCAACACCCTCTTCACTACTTGTTCCTCGTCCCAGTTCATCAATGACTACAAGTGAATCATCACTGATATTCTAAGGATATTAATTTCAAAGATACAGAAATCTCTACTGACCTGTAATATGTAATTGATCTCCCTCATCTAAAAACATAAACTAATCTATTAAAAAGAATTTTACTTCAACAGTGAATGTTGATGCATTAGTTTCAATATCATTATCTGAACCAATACGAGAAAAAACTTGGTGGGTAAGCCTAAAACTAGCATATTCTAGAACAAAATATACCATATACATCTGATCACTAATACCTGCTGGAACAAAACAACCAATCTGGGCCATTATTTGAAGCAAAGCAACTTGTTTCATGTAAGTAGATTTTCCACTCTGACAATGAAAAGTGATAATGAAAATATTGACATAGCTAGCTGTACCATGTTTGGGCCAGTAACTATAACGAAGTTAGTCTCATCAGATGCATACTATAAAAAATTGTTATAATTAACATACAGAATAGCAACACAACATTACAGCATTGTTTGGAACAAGGTCTTCAAATGCTATCTTTTGTAAAATAGGATGGAACCCTTGCCTTATTGCTAAAGTGTCAGTGAACTCAGGTATTGCTAAATTAGCATATTGTATAAAGTAAGAGATGCATCTTTTGAGAAGCTTACTGTACTTGGAAACAGTACAGGTATGGGCTAAAGAGAGCAGTAGGTCTAGCATTGCCACACACTCTGACAACTTGTATAAGCATCCTATATTCTTTCGCAACACGTCCAATAAGCCACCAATAACACTTGAGAGAAATAAAAATTAAAAATTATCATAGAAGCCTTACACATTAGTCATTATATAAATTTCATTCAATGATTCAGAACAACGATCTACAAGTAGTAACAATTAAACACTCCATAAGTATAAAAGGGTAAACTCACCATTCATCTTTATCTATAAAAATAATATTATCATTCAAAATCATGATTAGAAATATATCATCAAAAATGTACGACTGAAAGCCCAAATATGTTTATCATTGGCAACTTACCAAATCAGCTGTTGTGCAATTAATTGACGTCTTGGTTTTAACAGCTTTTATAAAAACTGGTGGAAGGCTTTCAATGTCTAAATCTTGGCCACTTTATACGAATGATAAATAATGATATAATTTCACAAAGGCATACTTTGTAAATCCAGTTATTTGAATGAAAAAGCCCCTTGTATTGTTGTAAGCAGTCTTCAACATTAGCGTTTCATTCTCTCTTAATTGAGTCATTAATTCTATGGATACATTGTTTTCGCTTCATTTCAAACATACAACTAACCGTCAATGTCATCAATAGTTTCAGAGTAAGTTTTACGTGCAACATCAAGATACCCTTAAAGAGAAAATTTCAAAAATGACTTCAAAACTTACCATTTAAGTTAGCCTGTAACAAAAGGTAAGTGCAAATCACTATTATTATGAAACTCACTTTAACAGCAAAACACTTTTGAGCCCTCATATTCAAAGATCCTTTCTGATAATGAGTATCGTCATGAACAATCTTCTGTATTTCCTGCAGCAAATCTGGAAAACGTTTATCACTTAAAATCTAATAATGAATTAACACTGCAATTTCTATTTAGTGTCATGAGCAATATACTTCATTAAATGTCTTCAAGAGAGGATTTTGACTTGTACTAATAGCATCTTGAAGAGAAATGACTAGCTCAAGACAGTGCTTCACATATATAACTAAGTTAATTTTATTTTCAGCGCTTTTCACTGTTTCATTTTTAGGAATCTGGACTAATAATGATATTAGATGATCTACATCTAAAAATCGCTTTAATACTAAAACAAAATCAATGACAGATTAATAGCATAGACCATACCTGATTCCACTGCAAAAAATATATCCTAACAATTAGGGCACACAATTTTTCATAATAAAAAATAAATAGCTGACTTCATTATCAATGAACTCTACAAAAATAGGCTAACATTAATCATCAACAAATATAGATTACCTTGAACACATTTTTGTCGAAGTTTTATAGTCTCTAGGCCTATATATATATGTGAGAATTAAATATATATGGCTTGTTATACTTACTACAAGGAGGTTGCAGTATATTTGATCTCAATAACCTAGCTTTTTATACAAAAACAGCACATGAGCAACCTATATGTACACATGTACATGTAGCCATCTAACCTCCTTGCTGTGTTTTAGTGTAGTTTAATATTCCAAAAAGAGAATGAGATGACTTGGGATCATGCATATTAGATATCAACTCAAGGTTTTTAACAGTAGCAACATCTAAAATTGATAAAGCTTCATGGTACATTCCTTTCTTCACCAACATTAAAAAATAAAAATTCAAGGGTAAAACAGCAATGCATTTAGTGACATGAAATACATAAAGCAATTTGCATCTACAAATTTAGACTGCCTTGACAAAAGCAAAAAAAATAGAAATAAGCTGTGCTCTCAAATTCATAATGTAGTATAGTTTCTGAATTAGCTCAATAACGCTTCTTGTTTTAAATACTCAATGTCTGAAGTCATATACTGTACCTATCATTGTAGTCTGTTCACTGCCTCGAAAAATTACTTTCAGTGAATTTGACACAAAGACTGTGTTTTGTATAAATTCCACATATTTCAATAGTGCCTAAATATACAATCACACAAATTATACACACACGCACAAGTCTCACAGCAGCAGCAGCAAGACAGTAATACCTAACAAGAATTGATATAATAAATTAACAATTCATGACAAACTTCGTCACAATTTCTAGCTCAACACTATTATAATCAGAGACAACAAACTGACGCACCATCTGAAGTCCTAAACAAAAAGGAACTATACACTTACATGTAACATTCAACAGTTGCTTGCCTTTCCCTTCATTAAAGTATTTTCTCTGCACTGTAGCTAAATTTACACGAGGACAATAGTTACTAATCTTATGAAAGAGGTTTGTAGTAGAATCACCTTCACAAGCTGTGTTGGGCATTATTATCTACATGCAATAGAGTGAAAATCACTAATTCTATCAAAGCAAGCCGACCTCTATTGGATTCAAAACTTCCAATTTAGTAAGTACTTTAACATAAGTCTGTCTGTCAGGAAACTATGTGTACAACATACTATCAGTATCAATATGTACTACATCTTCAATTACTTGAGAGAGAATCAACTCTGGGTTCTTCAAGTCAATACTAGCCATTCCTATTTCTCCACGTGCATGTCCTCTGCCTTCAACAATGGCTGAAGCAGCATTAAAATCTTTCACTAATAATTCATTAAAACTTACCAACAATGACTGCAGATTGAAGGCTAGGAGTAGATGGTGTAGCTGAAATTGATGAATTTTGACGATGAATGGCTAATAGAGAAAAAAGTACATGCATATTACTAAGCCAAACATTACAGTACATACCATACTAACGGGTTATTAAGCGTAGGCGCTTAGGCAGAAAATGACAGAAAAACGGGTGCTTAATAATGACTCAGCGCTTAATAAATACAGTAGGTGTGGTTTAAAATAATAATTAATTAATCATTTTACTGGCTTTACAATGGCGGGTGGTGAAGAATGATCTTTTGACATTCTGGTTCGTGGCCACAACGCTTATAAAAAGTGTCTAGACTCCTACTGCTGTAACTCCTACTGCTTGGACTCCTACTGTTTCGTACTGTGCTTAACAAACCCATGCTAAGAGCTACATTGAGCTAGGCGCCTAATAAGAACTAGGTGCTTAACAACGAAGGGCGCTTAATAACCCCTTAGTACGGTATACTACTGAAATTATGAGCAGGGAAGGAAAGAGATTGACTATTAATTTTATAGTAACAAGACTATACCATAAAATTATTGCTACGTCTGACTTCATGAAATTTTTCTATTTTTGTACATCTAACTTCTATAACATCAAGTACCAGCTCACTTTCAAGTGCCACATCAAAAACATCTAAAATGACTGGGAAGCTTATAAAAAGCTTCGATTAAAGGCAAGTAGTGACTATTGCTGGAAATGCTAAAGAGACATACTGCACATACAGTGAGGTGACTTGACTGGCTATGCCATGCCATCAATCTTTAACCGTAAAAATGGTACTGGTACAAAAGACAAGTCCTTTGTGAACATACTGTATTTCCTTAAATAAAAGCCCAGATGTCTATTTCCTAAAATGGTCTTTGGACCTCAAAAAAAATTTTTTTAATAAAAAAACTTGGGTCTAAAGCCGGATTCCAACAGTGACCTCACATTTCACTTCAGGATCCTAGGGAAGTATCCAAAAGGCATCTGATTAACGTGAGGGCTAGTTCGCATATTTATACTCCAATTATAATTGCTACCTCGGAGTTTATTCGCATCCAGCTTTCATTTAAGGATATACGGCACATGTAGGATGTGGCATTCAAAGGCATGAATGGGTTGCTCAACCAAGTTCAAAATTACAATTTGATTATAAATAAAACAAAGTTAAATGAATCAAATTTAACAGGAAATAAAAGTAGGCAATAAATTAATGTTGCATAGCACTTCGTCTCTTTACACTGTCTGTAACTGAGAAAGAAAGGTACTTTTTATGACGCGAGTTTTTAAAGTCATTTACTACCAGTCAATACCTATTAAAATAGCTTAAGTGAAACAGTTCAACCACCAAAGACAAGTTCACTGTCCTCAAACTTCTGTGTTAGTCTTTTGACAGCATTCCAAAAGATGTGGCTAACTGGCTCTAAGTACATGTATTGGTTCAATGGAGTTTTGTTTGTAACATGGCTCACAAAACCAACACTTAGGAGTCAATATATTCCATAGCTGCATAGTGACGGTAAAGATTTATGATTCAATCAGCCTTTCTGGCTATAATGCCTCTTCATCTCATTGGATCTCTTCATCTCAGTAGATCTCTGACAGCTGAAAGTACATTTATAGTACACTACGTGGGCGCATCAAAGGCACCGCCTGTTCCGTTATATTGCATACAGCACCAGAAGTGAGTGTCAATTGGTTGGCTTCACAATGGCTAGCAGTACTACGTGAGAACCAGAGAAGAAATGAAACTGCTCTACCTGTTGTGGAACAGACTCACAAAACTCCTTTACCACCATTGTCGGCATTTTGCTGTCCTTTAGTGCCCAGAGATGTTCTTATATTGATCATCGGGCAGCCAAGTCCATGTTATGTGGCAAAGAAAATTGTCTTGCGAGCATTAAATGTCTGTACTGGCTTTGTCTCAACCTTGAAGACTCAAGAAAACTTCTCTAGGAGTGCATTTGGCAGACGTTTTTGATGCGCCCACTATATCCCATAAATTAATTATAGCACAGTAAAGAGTGCTGTATGGCTAATAACAGCACTCAGGGTGGAGTCTCGACAGCCCTTGTGCCGTTATCAGCCATACAGCACTCTTTACTGTGCTATAACTATTATGTACAGTACTACAGCAGCAGCAAGCAAATTTTTAAAAAACACTATTATCACTAAACTTTCATTTTACGAGAATAAAAATAGTGTAAATATGATTAATAATTTTTGCAGCAAGAGCTATAGGTTAAAGAACAGATAACAATTCAATGACAAAATGATGTTCAGAGACATCATTTATAATGAAGTAATATATATAAACTAGGTAGTAGCTAGTACTTCATGGCAAATAGCAGGCCATGTGACGTTAAGAAGTGAAAGCACCTGTGTGAAATTGAAAATATTTCTGATGCTCAAAAAATGGGAGAGGTAATGATTCATTGACAATAATGAAAGATGAGGTCAATCATGCATAGCTGCATAGTGCTACGCAATTCACTCCAAATAATGGTATACTTAAATTGCTCTTTCATTGTGTTATATATTTTTCTTGCCCCCAAGTAAAACATGATCACTGATGCCTTCTTATCATGCATTTTAGTTCTTCCAAAAGAAATAGTGACAGAAGTACCAATTGATGTCCCTTAACTACCATATAGCGGGTATATTCTGTCCAAGTTTAATTTTGTTCTTTTCATTCTCATTCCTTGTGGAACAAATATTTTCCAAACGAAAAGGGCATTTCCTCAATGCCATGTGTGCAAAATGGCTGCTCAGAACGAAAATAAAACGAACAAAAATTTCTAATCCTGCTTAGAACAAACATTTTTCCAGACAAAATATACCCACTATACGGTATGAATGCTACAAATGAAATCTTGCAGACACTTGTCTATAGTTAAAACCAAGGGAAGGAGGACTGCCTTGTCTCTTCTCAGGCATGTATTGACAACTTGCACTAATTTGCACTTTCCTTTATCCAACCAAATGTGCAGTAAGATATCCTGTCCAGACATGGGGCAAGCACTTAAGCACTTGTGCTTATAAGCATGCACTTTAAGCACTTCTTTGTAAATGCTTGAAGGTGCTTGCAAGCATTAATCATATTGCAAGCACTTGTGCTTGACTTATACTTAAGCTCTTTTTCATGAAAATGCTTTAAAGCACTTTTTAAGCACTATAATGCTTGTCTGTTTTATCAGTTATCACTAATATGGTTGTCATGCATGTGTGTAACATCTATCATAACAAACGCATGAGACTTTAACCTTTAGGGATGGCCACAACCCTGACAAAGGTACCAGATTTTATTACTTCAATCTATTTGAAGATCAGAGCCCACACCAAGGGCAGAAGAAAGTGAATTAGTATGGGTCGGAGAGGGTTTCCCCCCGGTGCCAGCAAAAGTGGTGTCCAGAATTGAAAAGGGCGACTATGTTGATCTCAAAGACTTATTACAACAGAAACCCTCAATGGACGAGTCCAATTTGAGTGACTTAGAGGAACAAGGTATTGTGGTAGTCACAGCAGGGAAACATTTGAGATCTCAGATAAAACAAATGCGGGATCTGGCTACATGGATAGAAGCATTCATGACCTATGTTGCAATCAGAGCTAAGAAAAGTCCCGAGCTAGTGGGGATTTACTGGCCTATAGCAGTCTCATTGCTCGTGGGGCAAGGGACTATCATGGTAATGGATGGCTAGTGTATGATTTCCAGTTCCGCAGATTAGCAGCTGCTCGTGGCTCAGTGACAAAATGGTCAATGAAGGATGTGTCGTTATGGAATGAGACAGTGGGTAGGCAAGAAGTGCCAACACCTACCCCCAGCCATACTCAGGAGGATAAGAAACCCCTGAAGAGGAAGGCATCACCTCCACTGGTGAGTAACAAGAAAGGGAAAGCAGGAAAGAATTGGAAAGGGATGGTGTGCTACCCATTTAGCTACTCTGGCCTATGCGAGACAGAAAACTGTAATTTTCTTTATGTGTGTTATGGTCGTGGGGAGGGGCACCCCCAGTCAAAATGTCCTAAGAAGCTTCATTAATGACTTCCACCCAAGTGGGGTGTGACTTGGCCCCTATTTGGGACCATAAATAACTATCATCATTATACAATGTATAATCATTGTCACTTATCATGTTAATAAAAATAGATTGACAGTTGAAAATAATAATAATAATAATAATAATAATAATAAGGAAGGAACCATAACGAATTTTAGTATACTAGTGTTAACAGTAGTGAGAGGAGTTGTAATAGTTCTCTCTCTCTCTCTCTCTCTCAAGGTGTAGTACAGGAGGCAGCCACAGAAGGCCATTGGACAGGGAATGTCATTCAGGGACAATATCATGGGCTGAGTGGCCTGGTACAGTTACAACAGCAAGAGCCGCTGCTCCCAATGGATCTTCCATTAGCATTAAGAGAGATGGTCTCACCTTTATGTGAGGCAATGACCAGTTGGGATACTCTCATGGTCCAACATCCAGACCCTCAGTTCACAGCCTTTATTCTCCGGGGGCTGCAGGAAGGCTTCCGGGTGGGTTTTGAGTATCAGAAATGGGGCCAGTTGAAGCAGGCCACACATAATATGCATTCATGTAGGAGGGACCTGGCTATTATGATAGAGCTGTGTGCAGAGCTGGGAGTTCCTTTGGCGGAGAAAAAACAAGAAGGCCCAGCACAGAGGCTGGTAATAGTGGGGGTTCAATTTGACACAGGGACCATGCAAATGTCGTTGCCCCTCGATAAAGTCATCAAATTACGGGAATTATTGGAGGAATGGCAGGGCAATAAAGTTAAAAGCTTAGAGGAGATAGAATCATTAGCAGGCCACTTACAGTTTGCAGCCAAAGTCATACGACCAGGAAGATGCTTTGTGAGACAAATCTATCAGCTGTCGAAACTGGCAAGACGTCCAGAGCATCTGGTGAGACTTAATAAGGAAGTTAGGAGTGACCTCAGCTGGTGGCGTATTTTTCTAAAGGACTGGAATGGGCTCTCATTGTTCTGGAAAAGCCAAAGAAGCCATCCAGATGTTACAGTTTGGAGTGACGCCTCTGGTTCTTGGGGGTGTGGTGCACTGACAGAGAAGGAGTGGCTCCAGCATCAATGGACCTCAGATGCGGGTATCAGGAACTACTCTATTGCAGTCTTGGAGTTGGTACCCATTGTGCTGGCTTCCTTTGTCTGGGGCAGGAATTGGGAAGGAAAGATAGTTCGGTTCACATGTGACAATGAGAGTGTGGTTTCCATTCTGAATAAGTTGTATTCAAAAGATGAAATCCTGGCACACCTTCTAAAATGCTTGGTGTTTGCAGCAGCTAAGTTTCAGTTTTGGTTCTCTGCCACACACATACCAGGTCATAACAATAGAGCAGCTGATTTGATCTCTTGCAATAAATCTTTCTCCTTTTTTGCCCAGGATCCCCATTGGCAATCAATTCCTCCAACACAAATACCAAGAGACCTGATACAGTTGGTCTTACAGCAGGAGCTGGACTGGCTCTCACCAGCTTGGATCACTCTGTTCGCCTCTACTATGCAGCAGGTTTAGCTGACTCCACAAGGAAAGTGTATCAATCGGGTAGGAAATAATTCATCAATTTTTGTAAAGAATATGGCATTAAAGAAGTGCTACCAGTATCAGAGGAAACAATTTGCTACTTTGTAGCTCATTTAGGGGTTAAGGGTCTGTCGCATAGCACAATCCAGAGTTATATGGCCGCAGTCAGGGATCTACAGATCGAGTACAGTTTCCCAAGTCCACTCTTCGCACAAAGATGCCCAGACTGAAACGAATCATTAAAGGTCAGCGCAGGATCAGAGGGCAGCAAGGTAAGGTCCCTCGTCAGAAGAGGCCAATCACCCCAGCTATTTTGAGGCAAATGAGAGCCTATTGGGTGGGGATTGGCTCTGATTACAAGTGCACAATGTTATGGGCTATTGCAGTTACTTGCTTTTTTGGCTTTATGAGAGCAGAGGAGCTTGTGGTTTCCAATGCCAAAAACTTTGACCCAAAAAAGCACTTAACATTTGACAGTGTGGCCGCGGATAGTCGGGCAGAGCCAACCCTCATTCAAGTCAGTTTGCATACATCCAAGACAGACCCATATGGAAGAGGAATGAATGTGGTAGTGTGGGGAGAACAGGGGATGACCTGTGCCCAGTCCAGGCAATGTTTAACTAACTAAGAATGAGAGGGGATGGGGAAGGAGCATTGTTCAAGCACGAGGATGGATCACCTTTTACCAAACCACAGTTTGTGATGGAGGTTAAGAAGGCACTGGAGTCTTTAGGTTACTGCAAGGCAGAATACTCAGGCCATAGTTTTAGGGCAGGAGCAGCCACAACAGCAGCTGCACTAAAAATTTAAGATTCAATTATCAAGACCTTGGGCCGGTGGGAGAGTACTGCATACCTCCTGTATATAAGGATTCCGAGGGAACAGCTCGTGGGAGTCTCCAGGGATCTTGCCTAGTTTGGAAAGTGGCGGGCTAGGGACCAGATTATGAAGGACGTGAGTGCAATTAGTTTTCTCATCAGTATAATAATTCATTGGTACATGTACAGTATCTCTAATGTTTGCATGTGTCAGTTTTTGTTGTGGTTAATGAATACTGTGTCATTTGTTTAATTATCATGATAAAGTAATAATGAGCAAGTACCAGGTAGGAGGAGAGTGGAGATAAGTGTGTGGTGCAGTGGGGTTGTTGGGAGAGCTAGCGCTCAGTGGGAGTAAGGTGTGTTTTGCATGCAGAATAATTATGGAAATTGGCAAAACTGCCTTAATAACTACCATGCCTCTTATTAATTAAGGTGGGTGTGTTTTAATAATGAGCCACACCCATTGAGTACTGGTTATGCATTGCTAGTGGTAGGCAATACTGATCAAAAATATAACCAACCAATACCATATCAAGGGTATGGGATAAACCGATTGATATTGCCATCACTAGTCATCGTCAGCAAGAGGCAATGGTTGATACAATCCCAATTATGCACCATAACCTATTGTAGGGAGTACACATTAAGTGTCATCATCAGCTATAGTTCTAGTAAGTAGTGAAGAGCAGCCATTGATCATTAGTGTAATATCAAGTGAATTCACAAAAATAAAATCAGCAAAAACCATTTTTTGGCAATTCGCAGAAATTTTGGGCCACCGAAATTTCTATCTATACAGTAAACAAAAATTTTATTCTGGCAGCCATTACGGAAGTATACTTTGTACAGTCTTTAATGGGGAAAAGGTGTAATTTAACTGTTTAGCAAAGGAGCTACATCTAGTTCATACCACTACAATGTTAGTCTTGCGTGGCCAGACTTTCCACCCCTTTTTGACTTTTGGACGGCGGGGGAGTGTCTGGTGGATTGACGAACATATACAATACACATAAAAAAAGGCTAAGTAGAGTACAGTAGAGAAGAGAACCTTGAAGGTAGTTCGTAGGTACTTCACTACTACTTCGCTACTCTTCGCTACTACTTCGCTACTCTTCATTACTCTTTGCTGCAATCCTACCCAGTCACATGTACTGTAGTAGAACTTGTAGATGCTTCTTTGGCTGTCTGTGCTCTCCAAGTTCATCTATAATCAGTGGCATAGCCAGGATTTTTGGGAAAGGAGGGCAAGTTGTGCGGCGTGCAAAGCGCGCCGCGAAATTTTGCGAAACCACGCCCTTTTAGGCCGTGGCCACACCTATTTTTCAACATGGCGGACTTCTTGACCGATCATAGGCAACGTTGAATACCTTTTCAGCCTTATAATGGCATCATAGAAAGACTGCTTTGGCCTTTTCCTTTCATATGTAAGTTATAGAACAGCTTTTCCTTCCAAAAGCAGCTTATTATTTGATTATTCTTAAATTTTGAGTTTCAAAAAAGGGGGGGCAATTGCCCCCTTGCCCCCCCTGGCTACGCCCCTGATAATGCCACTCTCTCCTTCTAGAAGCCTGTTTAGGATGTTTTTGCTCGATTCTACTGTCACGCTACTGTCTTCTACTGTCACGCTACTGTCTTCTACTGTCGCGCTACTGTCTTCTACTGTCGCGCTACTGTCTTCTACTGTCGTGCTACTGTCCTACTACTATCGCAGTAAGCATGCACAGAGAAGGAGCAACGAACTACCTATGCAAAAGTAGAGTAACTGCGGGGTAGCTACTTAGCCTTTTTTTGATATGTACTGTACTTGTTCCAGGAAGTGAAGTGAGAATTGTGAAGCGGTATTGGATAATGGAAAGTCATTGAATAAATAATGTAATTTTCTTGGGCATGTCTGTTGCAATAGATTCAATATGGCCGATAGAAACAGTGAACTGTGTTTTGTAACTTTTCTCCGCTATAAACTGTCAGTACTGGTATTTGGAAGGCTCAAAAGAGAAAAACACTGCTAAGTTCGATCTGCTGAGAGTGTCCTGCCTGATTACAAGTATAGAGAGTGACCTGCATGGTTGCAAGTGTAGAAAGAATTGTTCCATCACAATTTAGTACTGACTGACATGCAAAACACACTAATTCATAGACATGCAAGAAAAAACATTAATTAAAATGTACAGCAGGTGTCACAACAAGTATTAAAATAGTCTTCATCAATTACTGTAGACACTCAGTGCAGCAACTTCTTGCAATTGAACATTTTGTAAATGTATAGGATACTCTGACATCTTGCTACAATTTCAAAGGCTGCTGTGGCTGGTATAATCTTTAACACTGTTTGGATCACACTACAATGCCACCTGCACAGTAAACAAAGCATTGACAACATTTCATATGATTCATGATAAAAGTACTGTTTGCAGTCCAAAAAGCATGTTACGGTTGCCATAATCCAGTCTGGTAGAGAGATAGTCCAGATGAAAATCAACAGTAGCTTCTGGTAGCCTTTTCCCTTCCAAATAATGCTAAAATGGGTAGAAAACTCTTCACTGCTGAAGGAAGACTGCCAGCCATTTGTGTAGCCACGCCCGTCTTTTCTAATTATACCTCTTTAATTAGTCTTTATTGCCTGACGTCAATCACACTGACCAAGCCAATGGTCGCTCCTTTGATCTGCCTGGAATAAGTTGATTTAGGTCAGTCCACCAGACTCTCCCCCCGCCATCCAAAAGTCAAAAAGGGGTGGAGAGTCTGGCCACGCAAAACTACTACAATGTGGCCAAGAAATTTTTTTGTTCATAAGGTATTCAAATGAATATGATTAATCTACTTAACGAGAATCTGGTGGATAACTGGACATGAAAACAATATTAAACATTTGTTGGAGACACGTACACTACATGTATCATTAACTTAATGTTGATATGTTTATAAGTATAGCAAGGCTGCAAAAGTTGTGGCAGCCATTTTGTTTGGGGGTGAATCCTACTTAGTAACGCTACCGCGTTACTAATAATTATTTATTACTATCATTACTACATGTATTATCATCACATTATTATTGTTATTATTTTTTCATGCCTGCGCACATTTACACTTCTACACAAGCTATTTCTTTTACCCTTTCTTCTTTATGACAATCTGTCTCTGGCTTTCTTTATTTAATATCATCTTGTTTGGTCTGATCTTAATGTTACAAATATATTTTGTCTGGGCTTTAATAGCCGCAACACATACAATGTATTTTAATTGCTTAAGATTGCTTAAACATTCAATTTGATCACAATCACATTATGTCACTAACTAGTCACTACATAACAAAAATACCCATGGATCACTTGGTGACCCAGGACTGTATATGTACAGTACATGAAATAATGTTACCAGTATAAAGCTTACAACTATGGGGAGTTGCTGTGAATCTCCTCTTTGCCAAACTGGAAAAACTCCATCGAACACTACTAACAGCATAGCTAACAGCACTAGTGTTGCCATTGGGTAAGGAAATATAAGAACCATCTGACTCCTTTCCAGACGCTGGAGTTGTCAACAAACTAGAAAAATCTGACACATTACACATTAGTGAGGACATTGTGTTATTGATAATACCATATTTTGGTTTTCCTAACTTTTCCATCTTCACCTGTTCTGTTGTTCACCACTGAAACAGACTATTCCTGGATCTCAGTGTTTATTGTCCAGCTGAGGGTTCAGCTGTCAGTGCAGTCCTCGTCCAGACTCCAGTCGCCCACGTGGCGCATCCATAGATAATAGAGTAAATGAAAGGGATTGGAAACGGGGGCGTAGGCTGGTTGATGTTGCTATTGGTTACCGGCCCAAAACCTGGTTGATTTCCCATCTCCTCCATTAGTGAGGCTGTACTGCAAGGACTTCGAAGGATATTTATGGAGATCCAAGAGGACGCTTACTTATGATATACCTACCGTTCGATATAGAAAGTGTTGGACTACCTGCAGCAAGGTTTTTACTTCTACAACGCTATTTTGCAACGAGTTATAGGTACAACAAATTTTTTTCATTTTTCGCCCTTTTTCTGTTGTAACAAACTCATGCTTCATGAATTCTAACCCTAACTAGTATCATTCGATATGCAAATGGAAACTCTTTCATATGATTATAAAGATATTGCATTTTACTCTAGCTTGTTTTCAAAAAAGGGATTATAATGACAAAAAATACATTTTATGGTTTTAAAAGTGCCATAACATTAACATGGTAAAATTATCTGTACAATAGAAAACAGAATTATAAAGAGGAAACATTAGGCTTCTTGATGCATTAATTTCACTTGCATAGGAACACTTGTTTGCGAGATATTGCTCCTAAAAGAAAGAAAATCAAGGGTAAATTGTGACAAAAAATTTCAACGAGCCTCTGTCAGCCTAGCAGCAATACAAATGAATGGAGGTTGGGCTACGCCCACGCTTCCGTTTCCAATCCCTTTCATTTACTCTATTATCTATGGCGCATCGCACCATGCCTGGCCCCACCCAGTGCTAGTCTCGCCGCCCAGACCATTCCCCAGCCTACAGACTAATCCAGTGCATGACTGGTTGCACCAGTGACCAGTTGCACTTAACTACTTCCAGGCTGCCAATTGCAAACAATAGAGCTAAATTGGCACAACTATGCAGGGCTACAACTATGTGGCTTGGCCAGCAGGCAATTATGGCTACTTTTAAAATTCTTAGATATTGATGTGGACCATTTTGATTACTTTTTGGTGGCTAGATCTAGATGTAGATGTTGACCATCTTGTTGATGTTCTTGATTTATTGAAGAGATGTGGGTTCCTGAAACAAAATAACACGAGCTTGGACTGAGACTAGGACTAAGGAAGAATACTCTAGATATCATTGAAAGGAAGTAGACTATCATGGTGATGTATCTCGTTGCATGTCTGAGTTTATATCCCACTGGTTAAGTAGAGCTGATAATGTTGACAGTAGAGGAGGAATCACTTTGGACTCACTGTCAGATGCTCTATGATCTATGAATGAAACTGCTGTAGCTGAGAAGTTAAGTGAGTCAACCATAACTATGTTTTGTAACTATTAAATCATTGTATTTTTAGTCATAAAATAACATCATGTTCTTCTTAATAATCATCATACTGTTCTGTCGCAACCTCTTTGTGATTCTGTTAGTATTGCTTGGTTACTTTTTGCTGAGTGTATTTTAACACAAGAAGCAGTTAGTAGAGTGGTATCAGTTATTCTCTCTATTCTGAATCAACGTAAGGCTCTATTTACTGCTGTCAAAGAAGCCATTCAAACTAATCCCACCAGTTTACATACGTTTGCTTATGTATTGTGCACAGTAAGTACTAATGTACATTAGGATAAGCTTTACTGGACGATATTAGTGAGTAATTACTTCGATGTGTTGGTTGTTCTACTGTATCCCACATGTGTATGGGATTGGCTTTGTTGTTATTATCGATGAATAATTGAATATAGATCTACATGTATGACGTGATAAGATTATAGTGTACCTTAAGGTTACTTTTAAATACAGGTACTATTAATTGCGAATTTTGCGTTTGGGTTAAAATCGCAATTATTAATACGCACAATTATTAATAATGACATCATGATGCCATATAACTATTAGTAATAATTACTTAATTGCAATTTTTAATGCCAGCAAAATCTCCTCATGCTAAAATCGCAAAATTTAGTACCCGCAATTAAAAGTCACTCTAAGGTATACTGATGCATAGCCTAGCTAACTACACTGTAATGAAAACTATTTATTATGTGTTTAGGTAAGAATTTTCCTGAAGTGGTTCTTGTTACTTAAGCTATTGAAAATCATGATGTACATGTACATGTAGCTTAATTCACAAGGTAATAATCATTAATAAATGATACTACATGTGTACTTTAATATCAATAGATAAAGCAAGTACTTTTGAAGTCAAAATACCACCTATTACACAATCTGATTTGTTTTTGTTATTTATGTTATCAATGTATGTACAAATTGTTTATAGTTTTACCTTTGTGATGCATTGTAGGTACATGTACACATACATGTAGTACTAATACTGAAGTTGCTATTAATTTATCATCTATTATTTTGTTGTTTTCAAGGTATTGTTAGTTTTATGAATCCCCACTTATCATTGAAAAAAATATATTGTATAAGAGTTGAAGTTCCTGTTCCAAAACGTTTTTGTGGAGTATACATGTAGCTCAATAAGAGCCTCTTACAAGGATGTTGTAAAATGTTTGCAGTTTATTAAAGAGGAAATTAGATGTCTATTATCAAAGAATTCCTCTCTTGTTATAGCACTACACTTAGTAAAAAAGTAGAAAAATGCTCAGATATTCCTAGCATCCTTCTTCATTTTAAAAATTAATGTTTAATATAACTAATATTGAACTACTTTGTAGTGTAGTGGAAGAAATGGAGATCACTGAAGCAAAGGAACACATTGAGGCATGTAGAGCTGAGTTAAAGGAATTCTATAAATCAATCTCAGTTAGTCTTTGTCTTGAAAAAATATTTGACTCTGTTTCTCATTTTCAATGTGAAACAGCGACTTTTATTTTTGACTGGAAGCCAGAGGAACATGTGCTTGAAGAAATAAAGGACATTCTGTCAGAAGTGTCAGGTAAACTACTGATCATTAAGTATATAGGGTAGTCAACTTCAATATCAGTCACCTGCTCCTTTCCATTTCTGATGTGGGGTTTACTGTATTGAGGATGATAGAGAATATTCATAATTATACTAATGATACAAGCATTAAAGAAAATGACTTTTGGTAATGATGACACAAAATGTTAGACAAAACGTACTTATTATGAACAATGAATATTGTTTTATGTATTCTTGTTTTGTTTCTAGAAACAAAAGGAAAATAATCAAGAATTGCTTTAGCATACAGAGGTCAGTTAGTGAATCGTAAATTCCTTTAATTAATTGTATCTGCATTTGTTTTTATGATTTAAAATGAGTTATTTTTGTGGGCCTAAATTCATGTACATGTACATGTATTTTATGGTGTAGACTTTGCTCCTTGTGGGACAATTCATAGTTTTTTTTTGATTGCGAGTGAAGCACTTTAATGATTTTGTGTTTGTGGTACTTCCCAAAGAAAACCCATAGATAAAATACCATAAAAATACCTGCTATATATGGTAATGTCTATTTAATTATTATGTACAGGTTGTTTCTTATTATTATACTTAAAGAAGCTGAATATAAACTAAGAGATGCTATCAGTAGCAAAGAGAAGGTACATGCATCTACTATGTCATGAGCTGCAAAATTCATGACAATAAGAAGTATATGTAGCTCATTTATGATGAATCATTTACATGTACATGTAGCTGTATGCATCATTATATTTCCAGAATTTTTAATTTTTGTGCCTTCTAATTGGGAAGTAGCTGATTGAAACATGTACTATTAGAAGAACCACTTTATGAGATAAAAGAGGTCAATAAAGCACTGTCAGACAAATCATCAAAAATGAAGGTTGATTATTTGAGAATACTTTCCAGTAATACTGGTTCAGGTTAGAGTATAGTTTTACTAATTATACTATTACTTATATGATTAATTACAGCTGCCTTTAATTAATTAATTAGGAATAACTCTTGAAATTGATGGTTGAAAATTTCAAATGACAAGTCCAGATTATCAGCCATAGATAATAAAAATAATAATAGAGACATTGCAAGAAAAAATAACATTTATGAATATGCAACTAATTACTGAAAGAGAATGCAAAGTAAAGATTGTTAAGGGTTTATTGATGATGTGTTTCATTTGATTGTTGAACTTTGAATAGATTTGATTGAGCTTGAGAGTAAAAGACAGAGAAAATTACCAATAATTGAAAAAAAATGTTTAATGTAAGTGTGAAACAGACAGGTATCTACTTTCCTTTATTTTATAGGTTAAATAAATTATAATTGTAATCATCCTGTCAATAATAGACTATTGTCTTCAATCTTCATTGTACAAAAAGACAATTTATTACCCATTGTACTTGATAAAGCTTATGAGGTTTATTTTTTATTCTACTACCATTCTCCTCATTTTTTTCAGTTAATGAAAATTAGCTCCTCACATTCCTATTGAGAGATGTCGTTTAGTTAAATATGATTATTTTGATAAAGTAATGGAATAGTCCTTTGATCTTAGTGAAGTAAGTTTCATTTATTTGCATGCATGTTGTTGTAATTATCTTCCTTAATTGAAGTATCATACTATGGGACAGATTGTTGGTGGGGCTAAATGGTGTTATCATTTTGGATTATTCTTAGAAACTAGCAAGGAAGATAAAGTATTCAAAAAATACAATGATCGAGGTTAATTTGGTTTTTAACAATGTCAATATGTGCATATCTAATTACGTGTATGCGTGTTTGATGATGTACATGTAGGTATTAATTTAATGATATCAGTGGTTGATCTGTCAACTGGTGAAATATCACCAGCTAAACCATTGAGAAGTGAAAAGAATTGGACTGTTGGAGAAGCAAAGCAATACATGGAAGAAGTAAGAGGAAGGATATATTTTATATTAATGTAACACACAGTTATGGCGTAAGGATTGGACTTCCGACAGCAATACAGCACAAAGCACTAAGTAATATTAGTTGCTGTTGAGATTCCACATTTGCATCAGTTGCATGCATCACTCTATAGATTGTGCAGGAGTACAAGTGCATGTACATTTACCTCGAAGGTTTTGCACTCATAGAAAAGTTTTTGAAAAGTTTGATGCACTGTTTATGTTTCGACGAGACAAAGAGACATTTTAAAACCATGCTGTGCTCATTAGGATGATTTTCTTCACATGGCAGTCTGCACGATGATTGATGCAGTATCCAATAGTTATGGAAAATTTGCAATAAGCTGACAATCATATGGTAAAGGACTATTATAAGCCTATTTTACAACTGGTAGAGCGTTTTATTTTGTTTCTTCATCACAAGGAGCTTCTGATCATTATTTGCTAGTGATTATATGAAGCCAATTAAGTAGCCTATCAGGCAGTGCCTTTGAAACACCCATGTACTATACTACATCTATAATGTCATTTATATTCATCCCTCCATTGATGTGGTCAATTTTTTTAGTTATTTAATATCAATTTGTCGTGTATGAGATTAGTAATTAAGAAGGATGGTTTCTGGCAGTGTCATACTTCTTTCAGTGATATTAGTGATGTAAAAAGTACTTTGGGGAATGTACATATAGGAGAAACATTTAGAGTTAGCTCATTTGCAAGTACATGCATGTAAACATGCAAGTACTACCGTATAGCTGTTGATTTTCAATGGTACAATATTTTGTGTTTTTTCCAAAATTTCCTTAGAAGCTAATATTTATGGGTATATTCGTGTCTGGCAGTTAGTAAGCTTCTTTTCACTTTGACCTACAGCACTAGTTTCTGATACATGACTTATAGTGGAATATGGAGTAACAAACAAAGACTCTAGCTCCTCCATTGGCTTGGAAATGGTAGTTAGAGCTTAGCCTCTGAATGGCTTGTTAATTAGTTTTTATGTGTATGTGTAGGTGGTAGAGGTTAAAACTCCTTTGATAAAAATGCTCCGCAAAATTAACAAAAATTAATACCCCACGAAAATTACCAATAATAAAGTATCTTTAATACTGTATTAAAGTATTGGCCATTGGGATTCTGTAAGAAGCACTGACTGAGCTGTAAAATAGGCAGTGGGAAAAGGGGCGGTGAAGGGGCCTGAGCCCCCCCCCTCAGTCTTAGAACAAAAGGGGCTAAGCCCACCCCCCCCCACCCTGAAATTCTCCACAACCTAAAATGAAACTTACTTTTATTAGTAACACTGCATTTGCTGTCAGTATTTTCTTTGAGAAAAACACAAAGAAAACAACTTGAAACCCATTAACAGAAAATTAAAGCCATTTTGTATGAGGCCATACCTATCACTGCCTATGCAGTTCATGTATGCTGGAAATATTCACAAAACTGTCATTCTCCTAATTAATTCCCTGCCACTGGCTGCCAGTAGTGTATACAGCTAATCATGATTATTTTAATTGTGTTGTACTTCTTTAGCTCTTTCCATGCATACAGTTCTATGTATCATCAGATCCTGAAGATTATCAAAAAAATACAAAGATAGCTTGATGTACGAATATGTTGAGTTTCATTTCAACTCAATACTACTGAACATTACAATACCTCTCCTGGGCCTAAAGCTACACCTACATGTACTACAACTAATGAACATGAAGGAGGAGAAATAATGAAAATTATATCAGTAAATGAAGAATATAAAGGAAATGAAAAGAGTAAATTAATTAATTTATATTTCAATGCATGTATAACACTTGGTGATGATGAATATTAAACCTAAGGTTAAGTGCATATATACATGTACATGTACCTTATAGCATAAGGTGGTGTTATTATTGTAGAGTATAGAGTCATGCATTTGTCTGATGTGTGTGGATGCACTGTGGTCAGTTTAGACAAGCGCAGTGCTGCAGCTAGTGCATTATGTGGGGTGTAGGCACTAAGGAACCCCTGACTAAACTGGTAGGTGCTTGGCTTTGGCTTACTTTTTACACATTATAATCAGAAAATTAAACATTATGCATGTATTATTCAATACAGAGGTTCAGGTACTAGTTGACAGGAGTATAACCTTAGCTCAACTAAAGCAGGAGCTAGTTGCACTAATTGGTGTATCACCTACTGCATGGTTTTAGAGTGTTTAAAATAAAGAAGAAGAAATGAAGGGACTAGATGAGACAATAAGGAGCATTAATTCAGGATCTGAGGTAATTCAGCATAACAATACTCCTCACACTTTCTCTCTTGTTTTAATTGATCTCTCTATTACTCTGTTATCTCCTGGTTGATAGTAAGACATGGGTAGAGCAGCAGGAAGAGTAGGGCATAAAATTAAATTTATTTATTACAAGTTAACAATACAGAAGTAACAATAAATTAGTATCATAATGAATTTATTCCATTTTTTAGTTTTGTAGCTATGTGATGGATTTGATTGTTACAAATACACAAGTGGGAGAATTTAAGAAACAAATTATTGAAGAAGCAAAAGTGCAAGGAATTGACTGTGTCCTTGAATTAGAAAAGTACGTGTACATCATTTGACTGTATTATGTCATTTATCCTGTAGAATGAGACTACATGTTAAGAGTGGAGTTTCCCCTGGTACAGTATATTTTGATCATCAAAATTTTTATGCTAGTCAAATATATGTTGAACCACTGAATGGTTAGTATTTTTGCTCATGCATTTTGCTGATCTAGATTATTCTCATGTTATGAACCAGAGAAGATGGAGTATGAAACACAAGAGCAGGTGTATGTTATAAGATAGCATCCATCGCAATGTTCAGTTGATCCAATAGAAGAAATTATTCTGGATAATGATGATGATCCTAAGCATCTTATTAAAAAGTTTTTTATAATGTTGAAAATTAATTAAATTGACCTACATGTGCATGCATTTTATATTATGAGACAAGTCATTGAAATGTTCTTATTGCAATATTGTACATAATGCTTATATCAATATTGTGTGAAATAATATGATATACAATTTTTGGACTCGCCACGCTTGTGTAGGCAGGTACTATGCAGTTGGGTTGTCATTCTGTCACGAAAATTCCTGTTAATACCTAGTCAATATCTTTTTTACTGAGCTCTCCTGAGTTATAATTCTTTTAAAGCTTTGAGAAAATGGTGATTTATTAACGACCTGGTTCCTATAATTGAATTATAGATATTTACGTAGATCATAGATATTTATGATCTGCATAATGAACTGATAATGTCATTTTCTTACTCTGACGAGAAATTCATGACAAACCCACTGTAATATCTTATCTAGCAGAATCCTCTATAAGGCAGTCATCTTGTTTGTATAATTCTATAAGGCTAATTATGTGCATACATAGCTGCACAGGTGTGGATAGATCTATTACTTACTAGAAATCTCCCTTTCATTGCTGGTGATTGTATCTCAAATGGTAATGTTTTTTGGGAGTATTATATATTTAGATCTATATACTTGTTTCTTTTAGATATAATTCGAGTTTGTAATCCGGTGCTCAAATCTTATTTCATAGCTAGACTATTTAGCTGGCTACTTAGAAGTTTTGATAAATTTTTGTTAGCTAGCTGCTACATATACAAAAGGTAATTTCAATCATTCCAAAAATGCATATTAGCTGCTTGATTCACTTCTCCTTTCCACTGTACATTAATTTTATCAATTATCATTACCTTTGTCTATCTCCAGTTGATAATAAGACTATTATTAGAGCTTGCAGCACAACAAGGAGAGTACGGTATGAATTCATAATAATTACAAATTAACAATAAATCTACAGATGTATGAACATCGTAAGTTAATATATACTTGAATAACTTGATTTAGCTTCATAATGATGAAGGCATCATGAAGCAATGCAAGAATTTAAAAATAAATTATTATTAAAGAAGCAAAAGTACATACATCTTGTTACTAATTGACTATTATGTGATTGTGATGTGACTCATTCTGTAGAATGAGATTAAAATACAATAATGGAGTATGTGTACCCTCATAGAGTATATATCTTGATCGTCAAATGATTTTGAAAACTAGCAGTGAAATGTATGTGGAAACACTGGAAGGTCAGTTAATTTTGTATTAATTTTTTGTACATGTACATGTATTATGGTTGGGTCAAATTACTAAATCCATCAGTAAAATGATTATTTATCTGACTATATTTCTAATTGATCTCTTTAGAACTATTGCCTTCGATGTATAGGCTGGAGTTTATAGTTTTCTCTCTTTGCTTAAAAATTCATCCTCCTATTTTACATGTTCAATCAATTTTTTTTTTGTAATCATTCAATCTCTATACTTGCTCTTTAGTCAAGTCTAAGTTGCAATACTCTTTTCTCCTCCGCATTATTGCATATCAATCCTTTTTTAATGTTTCCCTTGTTTGTGGAATGTGCTCCCTCAAACAGACCTCAATCAGTCCAAAAACTACACATCATTTCATTAAGCATTCTTTCTTTTTCTCCACTCCAGCTGCCCCCATACTATGGTTTTTTACTATTACTTAATTTAATATGTAGTTTTATTCGTCTTTTCTTGGGGAATTCATTTACAAGTTAATGTATCATTTTTGTCTTATTAATTTTGTCCTTCATTGTCTGTTTTCTGATCGGTAAAATTTTGATAATAATACATTTAGCTGTTTCAATTAAAGGGGTAATGAGTAGATACATGGTTCAGTCTTGTATCCCTGCTTCTCTTTCATGTTTTTTTAATGTCTTATTTGTCATTTTTTGTAGTTATTTATTTTTTACTATTTTTTTGTTTTTGTTTCTTTATTTTATTTTTAGTTGATTTATTATTTACTATTATTAAGCTTATTGTTCTTACCATTTTTATTTTATTTTGTTGTCTCGATCCCCTCTAGTGTTTTCTTTCTTACATGCTTTTTATTATTATAGCATTTTAAGGAAAATAATCATAATAAATCACCTTTGCTTTGATGCCCAGACAGCTTTATATTATATCTATCACTCTTCTTCCAGTAGTAGATGGTGTAGTCTAACCTGCTCCTCCATTGTCTTTTTATTTTGTTTTGTTTTTTCTTCTTTTGTCTTATTATTTCTCTTTTGTTCATGTGTCTTCCCCTTTTCTCCCTTGTTGTACTTGTCATTTTTGTTGATTATATATAATAACAATAATTTTAATGAATTAATTGATATTTTACATTTTGAAGTTTCTAGATCTACATACCTACAGGTTAAAGAGGATTACAAAATACAAATCAAAAAGTAAACCTATAGTTTTATTTGTAGTGTCATATTAACTTATGTTATGCATACCATATTTCAAGAGTACTCTTGATTGTTATCAGGTTACTCTGATTATTTTGATTCATAGTGTCCCCTTAGCTACTGCCACAATGTTACTTATCACTGTTCTGTCTATTCATTTCAATACAGGATCAATTTTTATTATAATGACACTATAATAATTACCTCACCGCATGCCTGCTTATGACATGGGGAAACTATGAATCTGCTTACTATTATAGACTAACATGCACTGCAAGCATAATAAACCTGTACTAATTGATTCATAAATTATGTCTCAATCAGTACAGGTGTATTATGCAGGCAGTACATGTTATTTTCATGCTCTTGGTACTTGCTGCCATACTGCTGAGAGAGGTTATAAATACTGATTCCTTTACTGAGAAATATTATGTTCATTTAACACAGGAAAATTTACAATAACAGTTACTGTACAAGTATCTCTAAAAATGTCTGCATGTTTCTAAAGCACATATAAATAAGTATTATAATGTTATCAGTTTGTTTTGCTAGGTAAAAATGGGCTAATTTGATCACTATGCGTAATATAGTCCACACTTTTTGCTTTCACTGGTATTCCAAGTAGCTCTGTGCTAAGTTTTTTCTTTAAATTATCTCTTTGCTTTTGTTTGTAAGACTCAGGAAAAAAGATTGTATTATTTTCCAAGCAAATCCTCAAGTAGTGTTTCCAGCAGCGGTCTGGAAATTGCATCTCAGCTTTAAGCAGAGAGAAGGGATCACCTACAGCAACAACAAAAGATTTTGACCGACTAACAGCTGTGTTAAAAATCTGAGGATTTGTTAGACTCTTTGTCGGATTACTACTTGTGCCATCACTTTCAAGTGGCTCAAATGTGGTCAAAACAACAGCTTGAAACTCATGACCTAAACGACATATTGCATAATATGAAAGGTACAGTAACAAATATACCTTGAATTAAATATGACGGCAAAAGTGTTAGTTCACCCAAACCAACCTTTTTTAACTTAGATTCAATTATATTTAACTATAGAAACAGAAAATCATTAATGAAGTAATTGTGATACATGTAGCTTACTTGAGTTCTGAAAGGAGATATAATACACACATCACTCATCTTAACATGAATCTATTCTCGTGACCATAAAGAAAAATAATGCTGTGCCTGTCGCACAACTGCATCAGCTACAAACTCCATAAGTCCTTTTAGATCCTTACTTGGAGTGCCATTACAGTCACACCAATAAAATACAAGAGGATAACGTATTGCTGGATGCTGTTTTTCTGAACATGCCTCAGGTGCACAGGCAATTGGGTACTTGTAAATTGTTCTTGACAGGAACTTCACAATCTCAGGGCAACAACGATAATTTGTAGCTAAGTATTTCAGGTACTTAAAATCCTGTTGCTTGCCTGCAAACTCCTGGTATTTCTTCTCCAAACGCTCTAGCAATGAGTAAGCCAGACCATACTTCTTACTCTTTTTACCCAGAATAAGAACAGATGGTCCAACCTAAAATTGATAAAATTAAATAATTTTCATATAATTACATGTGTATTTTAGACCTGCTTGCTATCTCCTGCTACAATCACTTTAGTAGCAGCGTCTCCCAGAGAAAGAGGAGCTATTGCTTCAGGTTCTCTAACCTGTGCAGCTTCATCAAGAAGGATATGAGTAAAGCGAACTTTATTGAGGATTTTTGCCACTGGAAGTGAGCTCAGGTATGTTGTTATGATCACAAGGACATGATCATTAACGTGTTGTCCAAACACAATGTCACGTCTAAAATCAAATAATGTTCTGTTCATTACATTATTAGAAAAATTATAAGAATCCTAAAAATCATCTTAACTATCTACGTTTGCTACTTTCCTTTGATTGCAAATAATAGCTATTTGTAGTCATTCAGTGACCAGACATTAATTACTTAACACCACAGTTCCTTGTGTTACCACTGAAAGTCATTATAATCACAGTCCAGAAATGACTTGAATGTTACTGACACTAATGGTAATACACCACTACATGTTCTCTGTTATTGGACTCGCGTAGGCAGGTACTAAGCAGTTGGGTTGTCATATGAAGTCCCCATATTCTGCCATATATGAGAAAGACTGGCTATAGGGCATTACAAGTAGGAGAGTACAGAATTAAATTATTTTTATTACATGTTAACAATACAGAGGTTATGCAAATAGCAATTTTGCTATAATAATATAAATATAATTTTGTTCCCACATTAATTCACTTCTCTTTAATCTAATGATGGAGTCTATTGTTGCTAAGAATACACCAGTGAGAGAATTTAAGAAACAAATTATTGAAGAAGCAAGAGTACAAAGAATTGACTGTGTCCTTGAATTAGACAAGTAAGTACATCATGTGGCTATCATGCGACTATCATTTGACTTATTGTGTAGAAAGAGATTACTAAAGAAGAATTGAAGGTCATCTGGTAGAGTGTATCTTGATCATCAATTGATTGAGAGATATTCATATATATACTGGTAGTGAAATGTATATGGAAATATTGAAAGGTCAGTATTTTAAATAATGAGGCTATTATTCTCATACTCTAAT